CTGCTGTCTACAGGAATTTATTTGTAGTGGTGCACCCCTAGTTTAGAAACCAAAATTTTTAGACGAGTCTCATAGGGTTCGTGCACAAGGTGTCAAGCGAGGCGTCAGTATACGGAACTCTTTCAAGGAAGTGAATAATGATTAATTGTACATGTACAACTTAGTACTGAAGAAAAAAAAATCTTACTTCATTCATCATATCGTAACGAAATTCCGAGATGTCTCGAAATTCCTACATGTGCGCCGCCATTGCTGCAATATAATCGAGGAATAGCGCCCTCTGTTGAAAAACTCAGCAGCGCCCTCTATTGATCATTAAACGCGAGAAGTATTTGCAATCAATAGCGGGCGCTAGAGTAAGAAAGAAGCCCAAGTTTGAAATTAATAGAGGGCGCTATTTGATGGGAGGAAGACAGCTGTCAAGAAATTGTCACCTCAGATCACAGGGCGTTATTTATTTAGGCGAGGGCGCCTTCTACCCAATTGTTCGCACTTGATAATCAAAACAATAAAGTCCTTGCGAAAAATTTGGTAGAGGGCACTCTCGCTTTTTTAATGGGGCAATCCGCGCTTGAGGTTGTTTAAAAGTGAATGTCTATTAGTGACGTCATGTAGGTAGAGGGCGCTGTTATTTTCATCAACGGGGGCGCTAAATATTGGTTTTTTTTGTCAGTAGAGGGCGCTGTTACTTTTTTCAACAGAGGGCGCTAAATATTGATGAGAAAACGCACTGGCGCGAGAGACAACACGGGGCTGTGACATGATCACCGCGATCTTGGGAATTTAAGCTGAAAAGGTAAAGTTTAACGGCTGGTAAACGGCAAGGATGGTTCCTTTGATCGTCCTTCACCACCCTTACACGCTAGGAAAGATGAATCTTAACGTAATGTTTGTCGCGCACATATTTTAAACAGGAAGGAGTATAGGAAGTAATGTGATTCTACCTCCACGTACAAACTAAGGCCTACGGTCGCACTCACACTGTCAACACGTCACAGTGTGGTCACAGGTATGAATGTGAGTCACGGTCACACCACAGGCATAAATGCATACCGTAGACCACCCTAGGCCTGGTGGTCCAGATCACATTCAAAACTACATGTAAACATTTCGTGATCTGCACGGCACCCGACTAAAAATCAAAAACTCTGGGCAAATTCACCTCTCGGTTCCCTGGAATTTACACACAGCTAAAGAATTCCAGCCTTAAAATTCTATGAAGCCACTTTTCAGTTGTAAAAAAAATATTTACTGAACTATTTTTTTTTGCCTATGTATAGATTCAAAACAATGCGGTTGAACATTTAACAGTATGTGATGATGTCTGAACAATAATTGACCGAATATGGCTACAGCCAAGTGCCTAACGTGTATGCTTCCATCTCATGTAGGTATGTTGCCACATTTTGAGATCATGTCATTAAGGCCTAATCATGTAGATTCAAAATCATTTAGGGGGCCTAGGCCTAATTTGATTATCCATGTCACCTGTTTGTAGGTGTACATCTTAAAAAGGAAAACAAATTGTTGATGGAGAGTCAGAGGAAGGGAACATTATGTAACTAATTGTAATTGTTTTTTCTATTGATCAAACATCTTGGTTGAGGTCTTGGTGCCTGGGGTGGAGATGAGATATTTGTTCTCATCTTATGTTTCACTTGGCTCTAGCATTTCCTAAGAAAAGCAAAATGCTGCCAGGCAGCAAGTCCCCTTCCTCCCCTGGTGTGACGATGCGATCATTCCTTTTAGAAAAGCCACAAGTCCAAAAATAGAACTGTTTTTGTATTCAAATAATTTCGTCACTCATGGTTGAAATAAAGCACTCCTGCTGAATACACTCTCTGATAAAACAGAAATGAAATCAAAGATAAGTCGTTTTTGTTTACAGTGATATGACAAATTGACAAGTGTGAATCATGAATATCTGCTATTTCGCATTGAAATATGTTTCTGGCATTCAACATTTGGCGGAAGAATCTTGACTTCTGACACATGAATGGTACATTTTCACAAAAAGATGTGCATTTGCTCGTTTTATTTTTCACCTTTTGATTTTCAAACTTGAAATATGACTGTTCCAACAGTGCAAACACTGAAGGCAACATGTACATATCTAACCCCAAAATAGACGAAGATGAAAGGTTGAAACTCCTGAAGCAAGACCTGGAGTCATTGAAGGAAGAATCTTGGGAATCAAGATGTGACTGAGGTAAGTCTACTGGTCAGTTTACAACCAAATGACCATGCTGGTCAAATCTAAAAGCCATGTAACACTGACCCCTCAATGGAGTCATTTAATTTCAAAGACTCTATAAATTGTGTGTGTGTTGTTCATTGGACTAAAATGTCATAGTGTATCAGTGACAGTTCTTGTATGTCAAACTGTCAACCCTTCCTAACCCATCAAGAAGTCTAGGCAGTTCACTGTTTACAATTTCTAAACATCATAATAACAACAAACAGCAAAAAACAATACTAAACAGCTGCTGGAGTAAATAGATTTCAGTCCCTTCTAAAACTAATGAATACTGTGATCATGACCACATGTAAATGAATTCAAACAAGTGCAAAGAGTATTTGACATTCAATTTGAGTACATATGAACTTAAGTAAGGCGCTGCAGTTTTTTGTTTAAATTTGACCTGTTGGTTGTTCAATTTTAATTGTTCTTGTTTTCACATTGTATGTATAATAATACACCATTAGGTCAACGTTTCATTTGCTTGTTTTTCCCAAAGCTATCAAGCAGTCTAAGCCAAGCATTTTGTTCACGCTATTTCAACACTAATATAATTTGCAAGCAACAAAAGTCGTACTAAAGAACTCGTGGAGTAAATATGTTAAGTCACTTCTAAAAGTAATGAATATGCATGATACATGTCAGTGAAGTAAATCAGTCATTCATTGTAACTTGTAAGTAGCCATTTAGATGTATGTCACAAATGTAAGAATGTCACATTTTAAGGATGAAGGGATCTTGAAACTGTACTCATCAAAGGTATTAACAAACATACTGTGTGACCAAGAATGCTCCCCTTGGAACAAAGTCTTGAAAATCTTAATAAGCAGTGATATGTTTCAGAGATAATGAGTAAAGGGCTTCTTGAGTGACATCTGCTAAAACTTTAACGACTAACATCTTGCAATATTAACAAAATATGGCAAGTTGTAACAAAATATCAAGAAACCTCACTTAAATTAAGTGAACTGTACAAAATTATGCAATTAGTCTGGTATTAAAGCTAGACAAATTTTAAATCTTTGATAGCTTGTACAAATGACGATAAGAAATCAAATAAACAGGTTGGATATTGTCTTTCATCTTTAACAAACAGCTTGATGAGTTAACCAAAGTTGGGTTCACATGTTCTTTCAATATGATGACTTTGCAAAAGGATTTTGCAAGACTTACCAAGATAGAACTCAGTTGGTATATTTGCAAGCAGCAAGCTTCTTGCCCCTTGGAAAGTTTTGCACAGTAATGTGGCATTGGTGCCCTGTACAGTTAGCATGCGGCCAGTGGCAGAGAATTTGTCAGGATTGATTATGTTTAAGGAGGTTGCTAGCAACAATGCCAAGTGAGTTGAGGTAAAGCAAACAAGCAAACGTACAAAAGAAGGTCAACATTTCTAAGAATACCCCCTCAAGAAATATGGTTAAATTGAGGAAAGTGGAAATAGATTAATGTATTAGAGCAGGTGAACCCAATCAGTACAAATGGTCTGCATCAAAATGCTATGAATTAAAAAAAATCATTTTGAGCAGGGCAAGTGTTTTTTTTCCAATCTTTGGCATTCATAGAGCTTTCTCTCTTTGTGGTGTCTTGCATTTGCTGTCAGAAGATTTGAAATTGCCATCTCTCATGAATCAATCCTTGGGACTGCTTTACCGATTTTAGGCATATACAAAATGATAGTTTGGGTGTTGAGTAGTTTGAGTCATGAGTATGAAACTGTTTTGGTACAGGGGAGTTGTGAGCTTCAACAGTGCAAGAATTGTCTCTCAAGTGGAAAGGCAATGGTGATCAAATGCTTGGTTGTTTTCAAGTGGGATTCCAAAAATGTTTGGCATGAAGGTTGATTGGTGGAGCAGAGACCAGACTGTCTCATCAACAGTTTCTGTTGATGAGACAGTTGATGATGATGAAGGAGATCGCTAGTCAGTGCCATGCTGGATGACATCACACCTTGTGGTACATCTTGATGGAGAATCTGTCTGCCACTGCCAGCTGCCCGTCTGATGTGAATGTGATTCCATATGGGGAGTCCAGACCTTGAGCCAGGCAAGCAAGAAAAACGCCATCCAGGTCATAGTGGTGAATGTGACCAGTGCCAGGCCTACTGCACACAGCAATGTATATGCCTGACTTGTCACAGCTGACACCAGAGCAGACCCTTACGGACTGCCCATCGATGGTTGGTTTGATGGTAGCCAGTGTTGTACCATTGCTAGCAGTGACAACCACCTTCTGTCTGTCAACACTGCTGACGATAACCCTATCAGTGCAGTGATCGACAGCCAGGAAGTGAGGTGGAGTCAGGACTGGTATGGCGTGCAGTAAAATCTTACCATCAGTGGGTCTATGCTCCGTCCACACCATCCTCTCGACATCACCCACTAGGATGGTGCCGTCCTTCCTGACTGCTACACTCTGGAGGTCCACTTCCGTCTTGTCTACCTCACTCTGTGGCACTGTGGGGAACTGGAGGGCCAGCTTGTTCTTCTTATCGAACACCTTGACATACTTGGTGCCATCTACAACCACCAACTGATTGTCATGATTGTGGATGGCGGCGATGTCCACTGGAACTGAAGATAAAGAAGAATAACGAGTCCATGTACATTACACTGGTAGCCTTTATTTTAAGAACATATCTACTAATGCACTTTCACCGGTGTCAGTATGCCCATGATACATGTAAATGAATATGTTTTGCTCAAAACCACCAGCCAGTGGAAAGCTGGACATACATGGACCTGGTTTAGAAAGAAAGAAAGAATGTTATAACCATTATACAGGTTGTCACAGAATGTTGCAACCCAGTGCAGCTAAAAACAATGAAATTTTTTTGCCATAAAAACTACTCAGACCAGTTTATTTTTGTAACACAACTGTGCCATACTGCCAGGTTTCTTGAATATTTTTGCATTGTGAGAATTGCACTGACCAAATAACACTGATTGCATAACAGCTGACATTTTTGCAGTTCAAGCAAAGTGAAAAAAAAATGCCCAAAATTTGCTTCTCAATTGCTTAAAAACATCTCAGGTTTGGCGCGATACAGATTTTGAGTGTAATAGTTCTACTTTTGAAAATTATAAAACTAGGTAAATGCATTAATATATTTTATTTATTGAATTCAGAATATTTTTGTTTACTTGATACCAGGCACATTTTATGCAGTGTGAAAGACAACAGTAGTGGGATGAACATAAAACGTTTTTCAAGAGTACATATCGCTCAGTGGTGTCCATCTTAAAATTGAAATTATGTATTCAGTGTAGGATGTTCTGGTAAATGAATATTAGTTTAGAGAAAACTTTGGAGAATGCACTGTAATTTCATATGATTATATTGGAAAATTTTTACTTGATTGGTGCAGAACAAAAGGAAAGATCAATTGAATGTAATTCACCATTTTTGGCGAGCTGTGAAGCAAATGCAAGCCTATGTTATACCGATTTCCGTCTTTTGTCCATCCGTCTGTTGCCTCCGTCAGTCTGTCCGTCTGTGGGGCCGACCCGCCGGACATCCCCAAATGTTAAAGTTTTTCCTTGCAGGTGTTAAAATGTGCCATTGAGTGATTGTTGCTTCCTCTTGGAATTCCATCAGTATTTAAAAAGTCTCATCTGGCATTAATGCTTGGAAACTTATGAATTTAATGAAAAAAAAAATGAAATTTGAATGTTAACGTTTTGAGTTGTGTTGTGTACTTACCCTGTAGTACATACAGTACATATGTACTAAGCACTCCTCTAATGTATAGGTAGATATACATGTATGTATGGACAGTGCCTAGACACATACAAATGTGCATGTACAGTATATGGGAAAAATGTCAGGGATTGGGGGGACTCCAAGTGACAGATTAGGATGTTTGTTGGGGGAGGGGTACCTCAGTGTAAGAGGAGGATTATTTGGACAAGGTACATACATATGTCGAAACACCCCGGTCTCCTCCTTTACCTATCCTACTACCCCTCCCCCGCCTCATTCTCTACCTATCCTACTACCCCTCCCCCTTTCTCAACCTCTACCCATCCTACTACCCCTCCCCGCGGAGTAGGAAATGAATAGAATGGTGGGGAGGGGGCGGAATAGGAGATGGATAGGATGATGGGGTAGACGCAGTTGCTTTTTAAGAAACTTACATGAATAGAGGGGGATGAGTTTCTTGTATTTTCCCTCGTTGCTGCGGATCATCACTCGCTGGTTACGAACATCTGCCACTGCAATTTCACCAGGTTGAGGAGCAGCAATGCCCCGAGCAAAATCAAACTCTCCTTGACAACTTCCCTTTTTGCCAAACTCACGACACAACTCCCACTTGCCTCCTCCTAGCTTACCCAGAGAGATGGCGCCCATCCACTGACCTGGAGTGAAGCTCAAATGCGAAAGCTTAGGATCAATCTTGGGAGGATTTTGACTCTTCAGCGATTTCAAGTCTTTACTGATGATAGGATAGAGGGACAGAAACTCACTGTCTGACATGGTATCAGTGACATCTTTGGCTGTTGTCACTGATTGTTGTTTTCCTTGTAGCATCATGTTTACTGTTTTCTGATGCTCGTCAAACATTCTGTTGTAATGCTGCTGAATTTGATCGATCTCATCAATTAACTTGTTCTCTTGAGTTGTTATCTCAGCTCTCATTTTAGCCGCTCTGTCCTGCACAGCTTTCTTAGTCTTTGTGACGTTCCTTCCAAATTCCCGCTGAGCTTGAGATGAAGCAGCCAAAGATTGTTCCAGTCCTTTTATTTCTTTGTGGAAATCTGAAAACTTGTCTATCAGTGAATGTTTGTATTTGAGAGAAGCCTCTCCAATGTCAATGTAGTGATGTTGTGGTTTACAGTGGTCTAACACTGCACAGCTACTGCAAATCAATTTTTGACAAGTCTCACAGTAGAACCGTTTCATTTCTCCCTGGTGTTTTTGGCATTTGTTCTTCTCTTCTGACCGTGCCAACTTTTCCTGTTCGGAGATCTCTGCAATGATTCCCATCAACGGAAAATTGGTTTTCAGGCCTTGGATACGTGCATCTGGCAAAACCGTTTCCTGCCGACACACAGGGCAAGGAATTTTTCGAGCATGCTTGTATCTGCTGGTGTAGTAATCCTCCAGACATGCCTGGCAAAAGCTGTGCACACAGTCTAGGATCTTTGGCTGTTTGTATCTGTCTTGACAAATATCACAAGTGAAGTGCTGACCGATCTTGTCGAAAGCTTGTGCCATCGTTACCTGCACACAAATGCAATTAGAAGAGGAAATGCCTTAGTATTATTGAAGATCAAAATTTCACTGCCCCCATACGCTACCCCTACTGGTCCAGAGAAAACTCTAATTCCTTTGCCCTTGATATGTGTAGTCCACAAATGCCGTCTGGACACTAAACATCACCTACTGACCGCAAACATTTTTCTCACCTCCTGTGAAGTCTAGTGAAAGTCACCTTCAGTCAGTTGGTTGAAAAAAAAGTGCACAGTGGCGTCTACTCTGCCGCGATGTGCGATCAGTTGCCTGCTCTTGAAGAGGCGAAGCCCAGAGAAATGGCGCTTGGCAAACACAGAAACGTCATCAAGTAACGTGATGTAGTTTATAAATAGAGTCTGGGATTTTTGGGGGTCTACTGTGTACACCAGGTATGCAGGTTCCAGTTATGGGGGGGTCTCGTTTGTTTGCATTTGTTTACTCTGCACTTGAGTGTTCCTGGTACATCAGATAAGTCCCTAATCATTTAACACACTTCAGCAGATACTCTGTGAATAGTTCATGTATGATTATTTCTACTGTGGATTTGTGAGGTGTTCAGTGAATAACTGGTTAGAGTATTTGTATAAATTCATTGATAATATTTACATGTGCTGCTCTCATTTAGGGTTGTCATGACACTGATGTCAGGATGATGCACCACAGTCTGACGAACATTACCGGTATGTTTTTTCAGATAGGTCTGAAGATAAATGTACTGTAGTCATTTACAAATTGTCCACCTGCCGTGCTTAGTTGTTGGGAAAGCAAGTGGTCTGTACCATTTCATTTACAAATTGTCCACCTGCCGTGCTTACATGTAGTTGTTGGGAAAGCAAGTGGTCTGTACCATTTCATTTACAAATTGTCCACCTGCCGTGCTTAGTTGTTGGGAAAGCAAGTGGTCTGTACCAAAGTTAAGCAGTGTTGACCAAAGATCGTATAGCGCCAAAGGCGCAAGACGGATAACTCTGCCGAAAAGATGTAATTACCATGGGCGCCATTTGAGCAAGCGATACGCCTGCGCAGATTACAGTAATGCCTGGACGCAGTCTCACCAGGTGCACGTGGCTGTCGCGGCGCCTGCGCCTCTGCATTGTGCAGGCGTATCACTTGCTCAAATGGCGCCCATGCAATTACAACATTTTACGTGTATTCACCGTGAAGTTCGCCATCTTGGGCCCCTTTGCGGTGTTGGTCTTTGGTATTGACTGGTGGGGATACTGGGATGAGAAACCACGTACCGGTAGTTTTAAGTTGCTGGAATTACTACACTTGTCTAGGGTATCTCTTGTTGATTTAAACGTAGGTAAAAGTCCCTTATTAGATTGAAAGCCAATGGCCCCAGGGGGTTAGGGTTAAGGAGATGCAAGACTGTAGACCGTCCCGCCAACGCAAAGTCATCATACAAGTCGATTCTGTGCGTGTATATGTACTGCCTGTAGGAATGGGTCGTCACGTTGCTGTCTGTGGTCATCTGTCAATTGTATTCTCCACATTGTTTGCACATTGACCAGGTTAGATTGGCCATCCACAAAGAGACCATTTCAATTGAATCTGTCCACCGTCATCCATGGTTGAATGTTGGAAGGCAAAATGGAGGAGGGATGAGTACCAGTGCCCTGACACATGGGAATCATGGAGTTGTGGTTGGTATCCAGTCATTGAGTGGGTGTTCATTTCCTTTGCAGCTAGATGTGGGTACCCTCCCTCCCCTAGTTGGATATACGCCAGGGTATAATTAAATCCATCCTTAATGAAAAATGATGTGAATCCAAAAGGCAAAGCTATCTTGGCATTGCGATCACCCACTGGTAGGGGTCAGTTGAAATGAAAAACACTGTTTGGCGACAACACTTGCAAGTATCACCAAAATCCGGTATTATATTTAATAAAACACTGGTTTCTAATTACAAGGGCAAATTGACAAGTTTGAATCATTCATGTTTATATAGCTACATGTATTTTGCATTGAAATCACACTGATGCTCAGTATTTGGCAAAGATGTTTTCATCTTGCTTACATTATCTTTCAACAGAAAGGCAGAATTTCTTCAGTTGTATTTACTGTGTTAAATTCCAAATTGAATTAAGGTTGTTTCATCAAGTCACAATTGCTTACACTAAAGACTACATTTGTTACTGCAAACCAGCCAATAATAAAAGAGCGAAACTGAAGCAAGACGTGGAGACACTGGAGGAATAATCTGGAGAATCAAATTCTAATAAGCATATTGTCGGGTAAATACATGTAAATTTCAGTCACTTCTAAATCTAATGTGTATGCATGATTCTGTAGAACAATTACATGGTACATAAAAGCAGTCATACAGATTGGTAGAATGTAGAATGTTGCAGTTTATTAAAGGCTGAAGTGGTCTGGAAAGTGACTCACAGCTTATATTCATGAGACAGTTATACGCAAAATATTGTCAAGAAGGCTGCCTTTAGAGAACAGAGTCCTAAAGGCTGCACAAGCAATCATAGAATGTCTGTAAAGGATGGTGGATTGAAGGCTTTTTGCATGGCTCACAAGACAAAGCTTAAACGTGTAGCTGCCATAACCATAACAAGCTTGAATATGATATTAATATTTATGGGTTTAATAAAAAAGGCAAGTTACTGAGATTTCACATCAGTAAACTGTAAAAGTGGACGTACATTGTATGTATTCGGGAATTAAAGCTATGTACGTAAAAGACCAGTCATGACTCTTGAATGAAGCAGTCAACTTTTTCTCAAATTATATACCCTGTTTCCTTAGCTATGAGACCTTTAAAGAGGTATATGTACATGTAAATCAAGCCAAAAAGCATACAAAGGTATATAAACATTTGAGATTGGTTACATTGGTAGGAATGCTGCTTCAAGAAATCTGGTTGAAATGAAGGAATTTGGTAATAGATCCCTAAATTACAGCAGATGCATTGTACAAGTACGATTACTTTGTACATGTATCAAAATTATATGAATGAAAAACTCTTTCAGCAGGGCCAGTTTTTTCTCTGATAACAAATGGTATTGATAGAGCCTGTCATGGATTTGCCATTAGATCATTCCCTAGGACTGCTTTACCGACTTGAAGGTGTACAAAAATTAAAGTTCAGTTGTAGCAAATATCATGAATAAACTGATGTGGGAGCTTAGAGCTTTGAAAAGGCAAGAAGGTCTTTCACAAGTTGCTTGGATGTTTTCAAGTGGAATTTCAAAAATATTGGAGACGAAGGCTGCTTTGTGTTGTAGTGATGATGATGAAAGAGATTGCTACTCAGTGTCATTTTGATGACGCCTCATCTTGTGGTACATCTTGATGGAGAATCTGTCTGCCACAGCTAGCTGCCCATCTGATGTGAATGTGATTCCATATGGGAATTGCAGACCTTGAGCCAAGCAAGCAAGAAAAATGCCGTCTAGGTCATAGTGGTGAATGTGACCATAGCCAAGCCTATTGGACACAGCAATATATATGCCTGACTTGTCGGAGCAGACACCAGAGCAGACCTGTACGGACTGCCCATCGATGGTCGGTTCGATGATAGACTGTGCTGTATCATTGGCTGAAACAACGTACACTCTCTGTTCGTTAACTCCATTGACTATAACTCTGTCAGTGTAGTCATCAACAGCCAGGAACCACGGTGGAGTTGGCACTGGTACGGTGTGTAGGAGCTGACCATCATTGGGTCTATGCTCCGTCCACACCATCCTCTTGACATCACCCACTAGGATGGTGCCATCCTTCCTGACTGCTACACTGCAGAGGTTCACTTCTGTCCTGTCAACTTCACTCTGTGGCACTGTGGGGAACTGGAAGGCCAGCTTGTTCTTCTTATCGAACACCTTGACATACTTGGTGTCATCTACAACCACCAACTGATTGTCATGATTGCAGATAGCTGCAACGTCTTGCGGATCTGAGGACATAGAAGAGTTAAAATGTCTGAAAAGCAGAGTAAGTAGCATTTATTTCTGGAGTATGAACTTATGCTCTTTCATTTCTACCCGTTCCTGTGGTGTATAAATCTGAAATATTTATCCCCACATACTGCCAATCATTAGTCATGATTGCAGAGAACTGATAAAACCAGTAGATGGACTTCATGTACATGTAGAAAGAAGGAACATCGACATATTACAGGTTGCCAAGGGATCGTTCCAACCCAAAGGTTGATTGCAAAACCAACACTTGTATCAATTATATTCCTAGTCAAAAAATCGACTTGAGCATTCGTGGGTTCTAATAATTTGATGACATTCTAGTTATCTGTAGGATATACTTGGTTTTGTTTTTTTTTTTACCTTGTGCCCATGCAATAGTGCAAGTCCAATGCAGTACTGTATTTTTGTTTTCATTATCAATCAAGCCTGGCACATGTACATGTATGCGAATTAGCACAAGTAATTGTTGGCTTGCATTTGTCGAAGAAACTTACATGAATAGAGGGGGATGAGTTTCTTGTATTTTCCCTCATTGCTGCGGATCATCACTCGCTGGTTATAAACATCTGCCACTGCAATTTCACCAGGTTGAGGAGCAGCAATGCCCCGAGCAAATTCAAACTCTCCTTGACAACTTCCTCTTCGGCCAAACTCACGACACATCTTCCACTGGCTTACTTCCAAGTCACCCAGAGAGATGGTACTAATGCACTGACCTGGAGTGAAACTCAGATATGAAAGCTTGGGATCAATCTTGGGAGAATTTTGACTCTTCAGCAATTTCGAGTCTTTGTTGATGATAGGATAGAGGGACAGAAACTCAATTTCTGATGAGATGTCGATAACATCTTTGGCTTCTGTCAGTGAACATTTTTTTCCTTGTAGCAAAGTGCTTATTGTTTTCTGATGTTAAGCATACATTTGTTTGCCATCTTGCTGAATTTGTTGGATGTTATCAATCAACTTGTTCTCTTGAGATGTTATCTCAGCTCTCATTTTAGCCGCTTTGTCCTGCACAGCTTTCACAGTCTTTGTGACATTCCTTGCAGACTCCTCCTGAGCTTGAGATGAAGCAGCCAAAGATTGTTCCAGTCCTTTTATTTCTTTGCTGAAATCTGAAATCATATCTATCAGTGAATGTTTGTATTTGAGAGAAGCCTCTCCAATGTCAATATAGTGATGTCGTGGTTTACAGTGGTCTAACACCGCACAGCTACTGCAGATTAACTCTTGACATGTCTCACAGTAGAACCGTTTCATTTCTCCCTGGTGTTTTTGGCATTTGTTCTTCTCTTCTGACCGTGCCAACTTTTCCTGTTCAGAGATCTCCTGGATGATACTCGTCAAATGGAAATTGGTTTTTAGGCCTTGGATATGTGTATCTGGCAAAACCATTTCCTGTCGGCACACAGGGCAAGGCACCTTAAGAGCATCTTTGTATCTGATGGTGTAGTAATTCTCCAGACATTTCTTACAGAAACTGTGCAGGCAATCTAGGGTCTTGGGCTCCTTGTATCTGTCTCTACATATACCACATTGAAGATGTTGACCAATCTTCTCTAAAGTTGTTGTCATTGTTTCTGTGCAGAATTAATAGATAAAAAAGGGAAATGGTATTGTAAAGTGCCGTCCTGTATGTAATACAACAGCAACTGATTCCCTTCGGATTCGATTTGACCAAATATTGGAATACTGGAGATGAGTGAGTTACTTTCCTGACATCTCCTAATAACGTAGTGTTTTATAGAAATTCTTCACTACGCACTAAGCGGTGCAATGGTAACAGTAATTTCTTAGCTCTTGATAAGTAGCTCTTTCCTATTCCTTTTACCAACCCACCCTCAAACTCAACCAAACAGCTTCCACTATTTGCTCACCTGTTTTGAAGTTCCAGGAATATCAACCACAGACGTACAGTTGGTCGAAAATATTAGCAGTTTTTCTCTTCTATGCCAGGTGTAGAATTAGTTTGTGTAGGGGCAGATCCCGGAAAGAAGACCCAGGACTAATGCTTACAGACCTGGTTTATAAAATAGATTTTTGGATTTGGGGGTTTTGTGCTTCAGGAGTGAGCAATCCATGACCCTTGTGTATTTGAAAAATATGGTCATGCCTGAATGAATAGGGGAACTGATGGGAGTACTACAGTCAGTGTTCCTACTGTACGTGTACCGGTACATGTACATACGTGGACATGTATGTACACGCCAACTAATCTTTGGTACAGAGACATCATCCACTGATCACACCATCCAGTGGTTGCATCATCCAGCGATCATCAGGTTTATAAATAGAATTGGGGATTTTTGGGATGCTGAACCCTGTGTGTTTGCCAAATGTGAAATCTGTGGGACTGCATGGGTGCACTCTGGCTGGAGAAATACGGCGATGTCATCGACTTACATCACCAGGTTTATAAATGGAATTGGAGATTTTGGGGGTGCTTAAACTTGTGTGTTTGCCAAATGTGTTTACGCTGGAGTAAACAAGGAAATGCATGAGTGGCCGCAATGACCATCCCCATTGTACATGGACTTGGACCTGCTCNCAGTTTGGACTAGCAAACAGGTTGAATGTGTAGAGACGTAACATTATCAAAGGTCGGTTACGGTGAGCTGGTGATTGGAATCCTTTTGAACTGGGGGGTCAAAGGAAGAAGTTGGGCAGGAGATTTTATGAATGGGGTGGTGCTACATGTAGCTTGGGCCTCATGGTAATTGGGAAAATAGAAAATATAGCTTTGGATAAGGACCCTGACTGGTTTAACACTTTGGCAAATTCAAGAAGTTCTGACAAAAATGTCAGGATCTAAGTTCTTTATTGTTTAACCACCAGAAAACACCGTCATTGTCAAACGTTCACTCCCTTTTTGTTTGATACATGTAGATTAATTTGGTCGCCATAAAATACACAGAGCCTCTGTTAGCCTCAAATCATGTGCTTAGCAGGGCCGTAATATTTGGCCCTGTTGGTGACATAACACTTGACATTTTGCCAATTTCCAACATTTATTGAACAAAAAAAAATGACAAGTTTGAATCATAAGTCTGCAATATTGGCATTTAAATCAAATTGATGTTCAACATTAGAAAAAGACGTTTTCACCTTAAAAATATTAGGTTTTGGCAAAAACGTGTAATTTCTTCATTTGTGTTTGCTATTTTTTAATTTTCAAATTAAAATAAGTTTGTTTCAAGTCAAATTCCAAGCACCAACTCTAACCATGCTAAGCCCAATCATGTGCAATTTGTCTGATATTGAAAGTTAATACAGATGACAACATTATTCATTACTTAATAAAGACAGGAGATAGAAGCGTTTTCTTTCTTCCTAACCCACCAGGCATCTAGGCCATACTTTTTAAGGCTTTTACATT